TGAACATAAACAAGGAATTTGTGTGTTTGTGTGTTTGTGCGTATGTGTGTTTGTGTGTGTTTTATAAAGTGCAGGCTTTGCAGTAATAGTCCAGTGAGATAGAGGGCTGCCCAACACATGTTGTGTGGTACCATTTGGTACAGCCGGTGCACTGAATCTGAAAAGAAACAGAAATAATACATGTTAGAATATGGACAACATTTTTTTAGGTTAACATCACTCATCCAGAGTACGCTTTACAATCACGCTGTTAACATTTAACTAAACAAGCAATGTATAGGTTGGGATCTTATCTGTGGTCCTTTCTGTGTAGATTCCGTGCTCACAAGTTCCTTCCACTGCGCCAGTGTTCTCCCATAGTGCAAAGACATGCAAGTTTGGTGAATTAAAGTAAAAATGTTCAATATCTGTTATAGTGTTCACCCGGTGATGTTGAGGTAACCTATCCACGGTGTATCCCAGTCTTCCAGCCAAATGTTGGTCAGGAAATTAATACAACATCTTAACCATTGGTCACCCTTGGTCAACCCTGAACTAAGTTCCCCACAGGCCAGACACAGCTGGGATAGGTCATCTGTAAAAAACAAATACCGGCATAAATGTAGTGAAATGCCAAAAAATACAGGATATTTCGGTTTCTCTGGTTTAGTCCTGTATACCGGAATTGTTCACCAGGGACATTGCCATGTCGAACCTCATTGAGGCCACACCCGCCTGGTCAACAGGGTACTGGACCTTCTGGTCCAGTAGTATTTGCTCTGCAAGCTAACAAAGTCTGAGATAAGTATCTTCGTATTATTGTTTAATGACAGATGGTTATATATACACATTCATAAATGTTACCTTGCAAATGAATACACCGCATGAAGTTGTGTCCTGCTGTTTCGGATGATCCATGCTGTCGCATGCCCATCTCCCAACAGCTGGGTTTGTCTTGCGGACCAGCGATCTACACAGGGAACACAGATAATGTTTTGGACATACAATCCTTTTTAAGTCAAGAACAGCTGAATGTTCACACAGGACAATCTTATGTTATTCAAGTAAAACAGCAGTAATCAGGAACATTATTTATGTGGCTTTGTGTTGCTCCCTTAATATAATCCCACATCCTGAATGCATGAATATATCTAGTAAAGACATTACAGCTGATATTTGATTTACCGTGTCAGGTCTTTGCAGCGGCTTATCTGTTCTTTGGTGGCCCCAAATGGGTCTAAGAAAAGGGACCTGTTTTCCCTCAGATACATGATCTATGGAAGTGCAACAAATTAAACAAAGTGTCAAGTGTTGAATAAAAAGAAATATCTTGACCCATTAACATTTTAGATTACTTGCAATGAGTAGCCAGTGTGCCCCGGAACAGACGGCTCCAGCTGCCACATGGTGTTTTGTCAGGTCCAACTGAAAAATATTTGTACACACTTAAGTACATAAGTACATACATATGTGTATATATATATACACTTATTTCTAGTCCTACTCTACTCACCTTTCTTAAACCGCCTTTATGTGTGCTCTGCCAGAGGGAAGTCATGAGGGTACGAGTCCAAAATGAAAGCCCCAGCTTTTGCACCCACCCATGCAGTGTTAATTTTGGCAGCTGTTTTTGATTTAGTCTTAGTCTTAAGACGAAAATGGTTATTAGTTTTAGTCACATTTTAGTCATTTCTATCCTTCGTAGTTTTAGTCTAGTTTTAGTCGACGAAAACTCAAAACGTTTTCGTCAACTTTTAGTCGATGAAAAATTACATTTTAGTCAACTTTTAGTCAAAATGTTTTCTCTCTTTAAACTAATTCAGTTAGGCAAATACAGGTATCTGAAATTGGAATCAAGGTGACAGCATCAAGTGTTGAAATTCGTAAAGCAACATTTCACTCTCTTAACACTTTACTTGTGTAATATATAGGGATGGGTATCGCTAAGGTTTTTAACGGTACTACTAGTCTTATCAATACTGCTTATCGATCCGGTACTTTAACGGTATTCTTGTAGGTACTTTTTGTTATTTTTTAAAGGGAAAAACTAAACAAATTGTTAACCGAATTAACATTGCTTTATTTACATGTGAAATAAATAAATAAAATATGTATAATTATGTTATTATATTGTACTGTACTTGAGTAAAATGTTGAGGTACTTGTACTTTACATTTAAATGTTTTGCTACTTAGTACTTCTACTCCACTACAATTCATAGTTAAATGGTGTACTTTTACTCCACTACATTTATTTAATACCTTTAGTTACTTCACAGATCTGGATGAATGATGGTAAATATAATCATGTGTTAAATCAGACTTTAGTTCCACCTGGAGTAAATTCACAAGCTACCCTGCAGTATACAAAGTCATTCAAACTAGCTGCACCTTTACCAGCTTTGAGAACACTTTCATGATCAATAATTATAAAATATATCATATATATTATTCTGGAATGGACCAATCTGCACAATGACTACTTTTACTGTCGCTACTTTTATACTTTTACTTGAGGAACATTTTGAATGCAGGACTTTTACTGTAACAGAGTATTCATACACTATGGTATTTTTACTTAACTACAAGATCTGAGTACTTCTCCCACCTCTGCGCACCTGATGTGATAACGTTACTCGTAATTGGCGCAACAGAGCTACGAGTTAAGGAAGTCGAAAATTGTGCATTTCTCCGATTGAATATGACGCCTTTTGGCCGGCTGTTTGGACAGACTACTCTACTCGTGTCAACGCGCTTACGCCATAACACTAATGGCAAACAAGCTTTTTCCACATCGAGCCTTGTAGAGTGTCTCTATACTTCTGAACGCTCCGTCCCCGGCAGATCTCTGTGTGCCGCTGCAGCATGTCTGTTAGGCCCCGCCCCCGCACACAGAGAGACACAGGGAGATCGCTCTTCTGGAGTGAAGAGAGCGGAAATAATGATATTGCAAGTTAGAAACGTAAGATGCATTTTGACAGACAAGACGGACACTTTGGGGAAAATATGCTGCATTTTGAATGTCCGATAGTCCACCATTAACACCTTAGTCCCGTCTCGTCTCGTCAACGAAAACTAAATATACATTTCGTCATAGTTTTCGTTATCAAGAATCTATTTTTAGCTCGTCATCGTCTCGTCTTAGTCATGTAAAAAAGGTCGTTGACGAACATTTTTCGTCATAGTTTTCGTTGACGAAATTAACACTGCACCCATGACAAATAGGCATTGACAATCTATAAATACAACAGATGTTTTTATCCCATTTTATAAAGAATGATCAGTTTGCATATATACTTTTTTATCTTATAAAGTAGGCTTACCTCTCCCTCCAACTGCTGTCCTGGGGCCAAGACCATGAGGTTCTCGCTGTAAACCTTGTATGGGCCATACTTGGCCCACAGCGTCTCCTTCCTCCTCCCTGCCCATATGTCTCGGATTACTGCACCCAGTTAATTATAACAGATGTATTATAACTTACAGAGGAGTTTGGGGGATGGCCAATAGTGACAGCCTGCGGCACTCGCATAGCTCCTCCATGGAGTGAAGGGTAGCCTCCTTCTTCTCCTTCACTCCTTGGGGAGAAGAAAACAGGAACTGGCGCACATTCTTTAGGTAATGCAATGTAGTGGAGAGGGCCATTGAGCATCATCTGAGATGTGCCAGGGGTTAAAGTCCAATGGGGAGAGGGGACACCTTTCTCTTGACTGCAGCCCTCCGACTATTGTTTTTTCTCTGGTCTGTCGGTCTGGGGCTCTGCTTAGGCTCATTGGCATTATACTTTGCTTTCTCTGTTGGCACACAAAATAAAAAAACATTTTTAATCAACTTGTCACATTGAGATTCATACATTGTGATATTGTGCTAGACATTTTCAGTACCTTTTTATAGTCAAACTGGACTAAAAATGTGTAATTATACATGATTATACATGATCTTTAATTACGTGAGATAGAGGTGGCGTGCTTTCTTCCTGTTCTTCCTGTTCCTTCTTCTTCTTCTTTTTTTCTGCACCTCCCAGATCAACCGCCTGTAGGATCATAAAAGAGACGATAGTTATATCTATACATCACATACATTGTCAAAAACTGGCATACTAATGAGTAATCATACATCACACTGACTCAGAGTCCTGTTTGAGGTCGTGTCCTGCGCCTGTTGGATGGTGAGGTCCATGGCGTAGTACTTATCCGCAGTTGCCGTGTCATGGCACATGAGCCTTGCCATGCAGTGTCGCTCCTCGGAGTCTTCCCCATGTCTGTCTCTGGCCTGAAGCAGACAAAGGCAGAAAAGACACAAGAGCATAATTCAAAGTTTCGGTGAGGTTGTGAGCACAGAAGATCAGTTGCATTATTTCTAAGTGTAAATTCACTTACAAAGGTTGCCACGGCGGTCCGCAGACTGGTAAAGGTGGCACCGCCCCTCAGCTTCATATCCGCCCAGGCGAGCTGCAGATTCCTGGTGAGTTGAGAAGTCGGGCTGGTGGTGTTACTAAAGAACAGGTACGGTGAGCTTCCTGTCCCTGCCGGCAATGTGCGTTTCATCTGGATGATGCTCAGCAGCCACCCATACTCCTCGCTGTTGAGCAGCATCTTGGCCAAGCCGAAAGTCTGATTCGTCTTGTGCTCCTCAACCTATTGGGAATCAGAATCACAATTTAGTTGACACATACAAGGAAAGTGCGTTGAATATACTTTGAACAAATAGGATAAATGAAGTTCTTACTTTCACCAGGTAGTCCCCATACTCCGGGCAGTGCACTGCCTTGGTGACCTGCCCATCGGTCATGTTAGAAAACACTCCATGGCGGTGACCGTAGAGGGAGGCCAGGAAGGCAGTGACGTAGCCAAATAATTTATACCGGCCCTCATATGTCTGGTTGTCTTCCAGTTGAGCTGCAATGACAAGGGAAATAAAATATGTATTATTTCATCCATTTATTTGAATTGCACCCAGTTAATTATAACAGATGTATTATAACTTACAGAGGAGTTTGGGGATTTCGAGTAGTGCCAGCCTGCGTCACTCGCAAAGCTCCTCCACGGAGTGAAGGGTAGCCTCCTTCTTCTCCTTCACACGCATGGCGTGAAGGGCAAGAGGCCGATCCCAGGACTTGATTGATGACGTCAGCTCCCTGATCACCTTAAAGAGGTCCTCCTTGGTGATAGATGAGGACCGAGGTGGGGTCTCTCTCAAAAACTGCAACACATTTTTAAGGTAGTGCAACGATGTGGACAGGGCCAGTACGCATTCGTGGAGATGTTCAACCCATCTACAATGGGGGTGTGTGTGTGTGTGTCTGAATAATAAACGCATGGGAACAATTGAGCTAAAAATAAAACACTTGAGTGACGTACCCCTTGAAGTAAGAAGATATGATTCTACACTGTATTGAAGTAAACATGTATTGTTTGAACGGGTTTTGATAATCACTTAGAAAAAGAATGTTATTCTCACTTTTAAACTCACTGATCCAGAGATTCTGTGTTTCACACACCAACATTGGCTGTTATCATCTCTAAGAGCCAGATGCTGTTTCTAAGTCGTTAAAGACATCGTAAAATAGGAAAAGATCCCCTGGGAAAGGAATGTAGAGTAAGATAAGGTAAAGATAAACATTGACTTTTGACCTGGGGTGGCTTGGGATCTCACATGCTGGGCAGACCTCTGATTGAACCCGGCCAGAAGCGAATCCAGCCAGTCAGGACACTTGGGGGAGGTGGTCAGCTTAAACAGCTCCTCCCCAGGGGTTCTCTAATTCGCTTGGGAGAAAAGTGGAAAGGAAGAATCGACAAATCTCCGCCCCAAAGACAGATAGAAATACTGACGTTTGTGTGTGTAAAAATGCTTTTGGGTTTGGTGAGTTGGTTTGATCCCGATATCTGTGTCCGAATCGCATCACAGACCTGAAGTCCAATTTCTTTTTGGTTTGATGAGTTGGTTTGATCCCGATGCATTTATCCGAATCGCATCACAAATCTAAAAGCCCGGAGTACCCGGAGTACTCTGTATAACTTGTATATGTGTTTGGTTTCCTACTAGAAGTAAACTCAGATAATTTGTTATAACTTTGATTCCGGTGTTTTCAATTCCTTTCTTAATTTAATAGAGATCCAGCCTCATCCAACGAACGGCGCGTAGCAGAGGTATTCTACTCCAACACCCTGCAGACGGTCGAGCTGCCCCAGGAATTTGAGCTTGGACAGTCGACGCATGCCTTGGCTCATCCAGGCCACAAAGTGGTTTACTCTGGACATTTTAGATTCTACATTGTTCAGCCTCTTTGGAGTAGGTCTGGGGCCCGTCTGCAGCTTCCTGAATTCCTCCAGGAGGTTGTCTGTCAAAAGATAGGCACACAATCTGTTACTAGACAACAATAATCTCTATAATGATCATGGCATTTATTATACGTACGGATGTTTTCACTCACTGAGGACCTTGACGTGGCCTGGGAATGGCAACTTTCTTAACTTGATGCCGGTTGTCCTAGAGGAAGACCCCGCTTGAGATGTCTGCTGGGGCGAGCAGCCCTCGAGCTGATCAGCGCCAAGCATTCTTGCTTGCAGCATGGTTCTGTTGAAACTTTGCTCCTGGTTTTTGTACTTGTTATAAAGTTTCCTATTGTATTGTTGCAAAAGCTCAATTTCCTCATTGCGGTCAACCATGGCTGCTTGGAGTTTTGCCATCTTCCTCTGGAGGCCTCCCTCCTCTTCCTCGTCTTCGTCCTCCTCCTCTGCAACTGAAAAATTGATGGCATATGATATTGTTATTACCAAGAAAAACGGCAAGATCAACAATCAATAAATAAATGTTTCAATAATGACATAATGAAATGAATACATCCAAGAATAAATAAATAGAAGAATAAATGCAACGTTATAATACTGGGCTTTGTCCCCCGATGTATCGGAGTCGAGACTTTTAGACTTGGCGTTACCTGGAGATATCATTTGTCCCATCAATTGCGCGCGCACGCGCACACACACCAGAAAACATCCGTGTGTGTGTGTGTGTGTTTGTGCATGCATAAATGTTACAATAAACTACAGAATGAAAAGGATAAATAGTACAGTGCGTAATGGCGCAGGAACACCGCTCTGGCATGCCGTTACGGAGCAGTAAATGTTTTTAACTTTTAATTAATGTGAGTTGTTCAAGAATATCTAACAGAGTACATTACCTCTTTCTGCCGGCTCATCGATGTCGAGAGTTGACACCATTGCCACAGGAGGACTGGTTTCACGCAGTGTGCTCAAAGCTGCGAAAATGAACTTCCCTTTCAGTCCGGCCAGCAAGCGTTCCAGTGGTGGGGCTCTGGCTTCATCTATTGGGAAATGACCAAAAATCCAACAAAAAATGTGCTATATAAATAAAACTTGATTTGATTTGAAGGACGAAAATAAGTTTAAAAAAATCAATGTGCAATGAGTAAGTCACTCACTTCTTTCTCAGGCGCTGCAGGTCTGAGTAGAGGTTGATCAGTGGGTTGCCGCCATTGTTCACAAAGAACCTGCCCTGCCCTGAGGTCAGGCCTTTGATGGCTTCTGCCCTCACATGGTAGAAATAGCATCCCAGCAGCTTCAGAGACACAGGTGGAACATCAAAATGAAAAAAAGAGACAAAAAAACCACATCATCATAACTCTGTTCAACCACTAATACACACAATGTCGTCCCATTTCAAGAATGATATAATGACCTACCTCGTCCTCTTGCTGGCTGAGGGTGAAGATATTCCCTGCCGCCTTGGAGCTGGTTAGCCGGATGGTGGTACCGTCAGTCCCTGGCGTTCTCTGCAACCAGTCCTGCACCTGTGAGTGTGGGAACATAGAGGTGACACCAATGTTTAGGTTAACAGCGGGCATAATGATTTGGTTCACATGCATGCACACGCCCAGATATTGTAGGGTAGTAAATGTACCAGAGAATTATATGTTACAGGTAAAAGTCCTGCATTCAAAAATGTTACTCAAGTAAAAGTAGATCAGTATTATCATCAAAATATAGATAAAGTAGCGACAGTCAAAGTAGTCATTGTGCAGATTGCTCCATTTCAGAATAATATATATGATGTGTTTTATAATGATTGATCATTACAGTGTTATCAAAGCTGGCAAAGGTGCAGCTAGTTCAATAAATGTACTTAGTTACTTCCCCCCCTCTGGTCAGAAGCACTTACCTGGAACTCCACCACTGCCTCTTTAGGTAGCTTGTGTCTAATTAGTAGTACCGCCACACAGTAGCTGCGGTATGCCGTGAGGTCCCATCCGGGGAGTCTTTGGCCAGACACCAGGTGGGACTTTATATAGCCCACGTCGTACTCTGCTGCAGCCAGGATATCATTGCTTTGCCTATCACACACACACACACAATTTATCTTGTGTCAGTGCATAACATAATACCAAAAACATATCCATACCTCATTGTTTGACCTTAAGGGCTATAGCCTACTGTATATGAGGCCATAAAATATCTGCTCCATTATCTGTATCAAATGCACAAATTGATGCCACCAAATGACACACTATTAATAGAAAGTACTACAAATAAATAAATGTACATCTTAAATTATTAATATATACACAACATATTTTTTACAAATATCCAACCTTCAGATTTATATTTTAAATCTACATTGATCTGCACACTTGCTAAATAACATTTGTGTGGTCATCTCAGATCATTTAATCATATCATGTAGCAATAATATATACATATATATGTTTTAATAAATGTCTCAAGACCGATGACGCGTCCCGGAAGTAAGTTAGCATTTTTACCACGTCCGGTGTCAGTACTTACACCGGTTCCTTCGACAAAAAGCAATGCAATTTCTACATAGGATTTTGGAAAATAGCTCGAAATAAGGTTTAAGTTGTCCAGGCCGTTTTACGTCATTACACCAAACACCTAACACACTCCCGCTAAGTTTGTTTGCCCTGTTCTGCTTGAAAGAAAGTACCTGCCTCCTGCAAACTGTTCAAAGAAACGCTTCAACTTCTACCATTTCGAATCTGTTTGTTTGAATATGGATCTTAAGTTGGCGTGACGTTGAAGCAGCTGTAGTTCGTTTATAGCATAACGTTAGCATTTTGCTTCTGGCAACTAGATTTATGATTCGAAAATTATAAAAGTAGGGTAGACACGTGGATATTATCCGGCTGAACAAAACGTGATCCGTCTCTTTAATGTGTGTCAACCACAGACATTATTTCGAGCTATTTTCCAAAATCCTATGGCATTGCGTTTTTGACAAAGGAACCGGAAGGAGTTTACTTACGGGTTTTAGGACGCGTCACTGCGGCTCTCTATACACTGAACTGTACCTTGCAGGGCGTCCGGACCCACGGGAACCGGGGGCGTGTGACATCTTATCGATAACTCTTATCGAAAAAAAAATCGTATTCTCTGTCGTTCAAGGATACAAAAATTCCAACTATTATCGAAAAAAAACTCTTATTCGCTGTCGATCAAGGATACAACCGTAGACTGTAAAGGAATCAACAGAGTGAAGCTGCAGCGTGGGAGACTGCAGTTTCAGGACCGCCCTTCCGGAAACCCGCCCTTCCGGGAACCCGCCCTACTAGGACCCTAGTTGTTTTTGCAACATCACCCCCTAGCGAATGGGATGCCCGCAAAAGTACAACCAGCGAGTATTGACTCTCATACACAGCGAGTCTCTTTAGACATTGTAATGCTTCTAAAAATGCATGAAAATATGTTTTTATTACAGAAATTAAATTATTATTATTAATATATTTCTACATTTACGGTCACTTGCATTTATTTATTTATGTATTTCTGTGTCCATAAGCTAATGAGGTGGGCGGTCCTCAGTCTGAAGCAGGATTGGTTACAGGAGTTTGATCATTTCTGGCAGATTGGGCTCTACTTCTAACGCCTGGCAGACAGCGCTGATTCGAATGCAGGAGCATTACTGTTTAGCCCTTATCTTTATACATCCACAGTTGTAATTGTTGACCATTCAAATTTCCTCACGTTTAAGAGCCATTGGAGATCATTAGCGGACCATTTAGAGAACGGAGAACCAAAATACTATGTCCAGTTTCGTGTGGAACGATGTATAGAGGACTTGCCCCCAAACTTTATTGAAGCACACGTTTGTTACTGCGGTCACCTCAGCCGTCTCTCGCGTTTGCTTGGTCTAATGAGCAGCTCTTTGTTTTTGAGTGCACGATTTATCGCGCCTTTACGGTCATCTCTGACGCTAGTACATGAGTAAAAGAATGCATGTTTTTTCAGCTTGATGCAAATCATTTCTACCATAAGTTCTTAATAAAAGGGACACTGTTGGAGTCAGTCCTAGTTTGACTGCTACCAACAATAAAATGAAGTACTTTTACCGTGTACTTTTTGGGTAATACTCTCTCAAAGTCTCCCCGAGAACAAAATGATGCCACATCTGCTAAACCCAATCTGCCAGAAATGATCACACTCCTGTAACCAATCCTGCTTCAGACTGAGGTTAGGACCGCCCACCTCATTAGCATGCGGACACAGAAATACATAAATAATTAAATGTGACTGTAAATGTAGAAATATATTAGAGATAATATAATAAAGTGTGTTCTGTTTTATTTTCGACTTTTATTTATTTATTTATACATTCAAGTATGTATTTCCATATTTATTTATTCTTTTATTTATTTATTTGTGTATTTATTTCCTCATATATTTATTTATTCCTGTATTTCTTCATACATTTATTTACACATTTATTTATTTATACTTATGTCATGGTCCATCCTCCATTAAAAAAAACAGCGGAGATGGTCGTGGGCTTCAGGAAGAACGCACCCCCCATCACTCTGTGTGACTCCCCAGTCACTGCTGTGAAGTCTTTCCGCTTCCCGGGCACCATCATCGCCCAGGACCTCAAATGGGAGCAGAACATTGGCTCCCTCAAATCAAAAAAGCCCAGCAGAGGATGTTCTTCCTGAGGCAGCTGAAGAAATTCAACCTGCCAAAGACGATGATGGTGAACTTCTACACCTCCATCATGGAGTCCCTCCTCACCTCCTCCATCACCATCTGGTACGCTGCAGCCACAGCCAAGGATAAGGGCAGGCTGCAGCGTGTCATCCGCTCTGCAGAGAAGGCGATCGGCTGCAATCTGCCATCCCTCCACGACCTGCATGCCTCCAGGACCCCGAGGCGGGCAGGGAAGATAGTGGCCGACCCCTCCCTCCCTGGACACAAACTGTTCACCCCCTCTCCCCTTGCAGGAGGCTGCGCTCCATCAGGACCAAAACCTCTCGCCACCAGAACAGTTTCTTCCCCTCTGCTACCGGCCTCTTAAACAAGGCCCGGCCCCCCACGCTGACACTTTACCTCAGCCACATCATGGACTATATGCATTACATTAATGCACACAATGTTCATACGCCTTACTGCACATATTGTTATTTCACATTTCATAGTTTATATTCTAAAATTCATTCATGGCAAGGCAAGGCAAGTTTATTTATATAGCACCTTTCAACACAAGGCAATTCAAAGTGCTTTACAAAAATGGAAGACATTATGAAAATGGCAATTAAAATCAGTCATTAAAAAGAAAAGATAATAAAATAAACATTAAAAGAAAAAATACATGGATAAAAGTTAAAAGTTACAGTGCAGTTTAAGATGTGAATAGTTCAATTAAAAGCAGCGGCAAAAAGAAAAGTCTTCAGCCTGGATTTAAAAGTAGTAAGAGTTGCAGCAGACCTGCAGGTTTCTGGGAGTTTGTTCCAGATATTTGGAGCATAATAACTGAATGCTGCTTTACCATGTTTAGTTCTGACTCTGGGGACAGAAAGCTGACCAGTCCCTGAAGACCTGAGAGTTCTGGATGGTTCATAATTTAGCAGTAGGTCAGAAATGTATTTTGGGCCTAAACCAAATTAACTAAATTCATAGCATTCTATTTCCATGTAAATTACTGCTTTATTTGTATTGCTATTTAACTATATTTTATTACGGTGTAAAAGATTTTTTGTTTTATATTAGATTTCTTGTTTTTTATATTTTATGTATGCACCATTCCTAGTATGTTTGAACCCACCTGGCAATAAACCTGTTTCTGATTCTGATATCTCGACCTCACATTAAGTTACTGGTTGCGTTTTTGGCAAGTAGCCGTCCCAACCCTGTACATAAGTTATATCATTTGAATTGCTGATACAGTTGTTGCACATCTTGACTTTATTTTCTAGTGTACTTGAGTGGGTAAAACGATTGGAAACCTTTACTTTTCATGAAATGCAAGATGTAACTTTAAATGTGGCTTGTGTATTTATCACATTTTCAATGTGAAATAGATATGATTAAATAAAGAGTAAAAGCACAATCTTAAATGTTGACATTTATCATTTCCTATGCTTATTGTTAATGTAGTGGTGTTTTAACCAAATAGTTGTCGTGAAGGAAATCAAGCTGTTTTTCTATTTGTTGACAAAACATTTAACAGGGTTCCCGCGGGGTCTTAAAAAGCCTTACATTTGATAATCTGAATTCAAGGCCTTAAAAAGGTCTTAAATATGACCAAAAAAATAAGAAAGGTCTTAAATATGATTTAGAAGGTCTTAAAAATTATCGGATTTGAAAGGTACTTCTCTGTTGCGATAGCGTCTAAATGTATTTTGGGGGAAATGTCCGGGCTGCTAAGTAACCAGTACGGTAATAGCCTTTCAGTTCCCCCCAACCATTTGTATTGAAATAAATCAACATGGAACCAGTATACACTAACTTTGTTTCCCCCGGCCCCTTATCGGAGAACACCCAGCTAGTAACCTAGCAACCAAGCTTCAGCTAGCGGCAGTCAGAAACTAATGTATCTTAGAATCTACTTACAAATAAATATGGGGAAGTGTAAGTTCAACCGTATTTGGTTGGAAAACATCGAATGTAGTGCTTTGTTGAAACCAGGGGAGGGGAACGTGTTTGAAGCCCACTGCACCTTTTGCAAAATAAATTAGTGTTTGTTTGGCTAATGTAGCGTTAGCTAGTGCAGCGTTAGCTAGTGCAGCAGCTCCCGCAACATCACCGGGGGGCCTCCGGGCAACGTGTGGGTGTACGTCAACCCTAAAAGCGGAGGTGCTGTAGACGCTAAATACCGTAGTTAAACACCAATCATACAACAGCAACGATGAAAGATTGTAGCCAAGGCAGCAGAGCTCTGAATATAGCCACACACACACACACACACACACACACACACACAGGCAAACATCATAATCACGATTATTTTTGGTCAATAATTGATATCACAATTATTAAATACAATTATTAATTGACTT